GTGTGACAGCAAAAATCAAGCTTCTATTTTAATAAAAGTATCTCCTATTTTTTCTCCAGTCAAAATCACAGATTCTTATTTTAGGGGAGTCATGTCTATTGGTTGACCCCCAGAGAATTCTGAATTATCTCAGTGTGCAGTATGATGTCATATTAAGGAACTATAGGGCAGTGGTTGAGAGGGTTAACAAGTCAGTGTTAAGTGTGCCTGTATTGAATTCATTCATTTATTCAACACATATTTGGAGGACTGATCATGTGCTAGATACTATACTAGGTGTGGGATACAGTGGAAATCAAATCTTTGCCCCCATGAAGTTGACATTCTACTGACAGAAGACATTCAAGCAATACATGTATATAATTTATACTGAATTTATATTATATGAAGTGAGAATGAGGGTGATGGAGGAAAATCAAAAAGTGAAAGAGGCAAGGGTATGCTGTGAGGGAGATTGAATCTCTGTTTTTAAACTCATAAGATGTGTGGCCATAGGCAGGATGACCTCCACAATTTGTAAAATGCAGGGAAAAGTGAAAATGTAGCACCCACTGTTCAAAATTTTGAGTCGATGACTGCAGAAAATTGAACCAAGCACAGGTCCTTTTAAGTACATGCAGGACCTTTGCAGTCCCACAGAGCGAATACCCGTGAAGCTGATCCTGAACTTGAGCAAGTTGTTTGATTTTTCTCAGCCTCAGTTGTTAATTGGGAAAGGACTTGGAAATATTGAAACACGTAATAAGATAAAATGATTCTAAAGCTTTTTCCTCTAGGTACAGTGTTAGACAGTACAAAGGGCATTTTTACCTCCAACACATCTTTCATGAAGAGTTTTTTATCTAGGCTTCATGGAGCCCTATGTTAAACAGATTTGCCCAAGTTCTAACAAGGTTCTGGAATCTCGTATGTGGGTGTGTTCATGTTGGGGTGTGTGTGTGTGTATGTGGGGTGTGTGGGTGTCTGTGTTTTTCCTCTGGAAAGCACCATAGTCTCTGCCACATTTTTTAAAAGGTGCATAACCCTTTAAGCAGGAACCATTTACTTTAAATGGAATCAGAAATCTTACTATGAAAAAGCAATAATATTTATTTGTACTGTGTGTATCTCTTACTGTTTATTTCATGTTCACAATTCATCTCATTTTCATTCAAGACAACCAGCTGGGCTAGTTAGAGCCGAGATTTGAGCCCAGTTTTTCTCACTGACTCTAAAACTCATCCATGCTCCTAAACCTCCTCACCATTGGAGGGCATTGCTGTTTACCCTTTCAGTTTCAGCTGTACTATCAAAAGCAGCAAATCAAGGGCAGGGACCACAGCTTGACCTTAAACTATTCAACTGCACTTAATTACCCATTGTAGTGGAAGCACATAAATACAGGATGTCCCCTCACTCTGCCATTCTGCTTTGCATCATTATCAAAAAGACAAAGGTAATTCATGTCTAATTACTCACTCACCGCAAGGTCAGAATATTTATTTTTATCATATTTGTGATTTTTAGGATTAGTGATATCAGTATTTATTCATGGCTAACCTAAATCAAACATCCTGTTGATATCTGTAAAGAGCCATATAGTTATTGTCGCAGGTATGCTGAGTCACAAAGCAAATACAAAGTTTATGAGTTGACAGGGAAAAGGCTGTAGGGAGGTAGAGATAAGTGTGCCTGGGTAATCACAAGTGTCTTGCGAAATATACACATTGTTTATTTATATTGTCCATTTATCAAGCTCAATAGGGGCTTGGGAAACTGAAAATAACCAAAGTAGGAAAACTTATTAGTGTTATTTTCCAAATTTGCTGCTGGTGGTGACTTTTTGGTTCAATTTATTAAATACTTAATTTAGAAATTGTTCTCTGTTTCTAGTGGAATACAGCCTTGACCAGCTTGAGAAAGATAAAAGGAGAAGTAGAAGAGAAGGGGAAATAAATGAGGCTCATGTGACTGGGATTAATCTACTCGGAGATCTGGAGTAGCAATAACTTGTGTCTTTCCAAAACCCCCGCAGTCAATTAATGAGATCAATTTAAAGTGGCAGTATTGAAAGGGAAAACCCAAACACTTGGATATAGCAGTAGCCAATTGACCTATTCCTTTTTCCATTCAGATTCACTCAGTCAAATATATCTTATTGACTGTGGCTACTGTCGTCATAACTGTGTTAGCTAATTGTCTGAAGTTTTCATTCATTCTCTGTCTTTGCAGATGTCGCTGCTATTCAATCTGTATTTCCTTGCTCTGTCTAGCTCTCTGTCTGCACTAACAGGATATACACATGTGTGTGTACACATTTTTTTCCTTAATCTATCCCATTGTTCCTCTTAATGTCTTTGGACAGATCAACGTCTGAAAATCAGGCTTCTAATAGAATCTTACTGGAAGTAACTAGCTGTGAAACTTGGGCAAGTATTTGACCTCTCACTTCCCCCATCTATGAAGGGAAGATGTGAAAACAAATGGTTGTGTGGTTCCTCTCCTACTTACTCACTCTATATTTCTATAATTTTGTATCTAGTTTCCATGGAGCACAAGGTCATTAGTAATGTGTCCCACGACTCTCCTTAGATTAATCAGACAAGCCAAAATTGGGGGAGATCTGAACAAAGTCTTAGAGTCTAGTTAATAGTAAGAATATGAAATGGATATGACTCATTGATGTGATATGGTCTTCAAAACGCTAAATCTGGTGTTTGAATGCGTAGAAATATATTAGGTTTTAGAACATAAAATTTCCATTTTGGTAGATGAAAAATGTTGAATAAAGGTAATTTCATAAGGTTCATAGTCTGTAGAGTGAGATGGAAGCAGAAAAACCTCACTTTGCTCTGTTCTGCTGTACTAAGGCTTATACTTTAAGTAATCATTCAGTTCTTGATGCCATACAAAAAAAGAGGGTAGTGGACAAAAAGAAACACATATTTTCAGTATATAATAACCAAGCTGGGAGGGTACTTTAAGGCATGTCTGGTTAATGGGGAAAAAAATAAAGAGACTCTTTAACTTGGAGGTGTTAGCAGTCTTTTAGTCTTTAAAAGATAGGTGCAAAAGACAAAATTTTTCTATGTGTGTGTATATATATATACACACACACACACATATTTAATGCAACATATGACTAAGTAGTTCATATAAGTGACAGTAGTAATAGTGACTAAGAAGTTCAGAAAAAGATTCAGATCCGTGTAAGGAGGAACTTTTTAAATGGAGCTGTCCAAAATTTAAAGGTGCCTTGTCAGCTAGTTGCAGTGTTCCATTGCCAGGGATGTTCAACTCAAGCAGCACCACTCAAGCAGTGGTAGGTCTAGGACACTGGCTGTCTACCTGGGGTGAGTTTGTCTCCCAGGGGACATTTGACAATGCTTGCAAATGTGTTTGATTGTCACAATTTTGGGGGTTGGTGGGAGGGTGCTATTGGCGTCTAATGAATAGAATAGAAGTCTGAGATGTTTCTAAACATCAAACAATGCACAGAACAGCACCCTCACTATAAGGAATTACCCAAGCCGAAATTGAGAAATCCTAGTCTAAACAGTTTGATACAGAGGTTTAATTCCTAACATCCCTGTAGCTGGGGAGAAAAAAGTGAAATTGATCTATCGGAACAATGGTTATGTAGGCAATTGTTTATAATGACATTTTAAAAAGAATGTTAATGATATGCAGACATGTAAATTTTTAAACATATAACATTAAACATAAAAAAGAATACATCTCTATTTTATAAATATATCAAAATATTGAGTGGTTAATTCTGATCAGTGAGGTTATTCATGCTTTTGTTTTCCTTTTTTCTCTATTTTCCAAGTAGCTATAACATACCAGTCCTGCTTTTAAATTCAGAAGAAGAAAAAAATAATCTAAGTTGAATTTTTAAAACCTAATATGTCCCTGAGGACTGAAAGGCACATGGTAATAAGAATAACCATAATAGTAACTTCAATTTAGCCGGCAGCGTACGGGGAGACAGGCCCACTCATTCACTCCTGGTCAGAATGTAAATTGTTATAACCCCTTTGGAAGACAATTTGGCAATATGACTGCAGAACCTCAAAAATATTCATATCCTATGACCCAGTCATTCCAATTTTGGGAAGCTAGCCTAAGGAAATAATCAAAAATAGGCACAAAGATGTTCATTTAAGCATGATTTATAATAGTCAAAAATTGGATTTATAATGGCTACAAATAGAAAACAGTCTTAATTACTAGAAATAGGTGAATGTTTAACTAAATTATAATAAATCCATATGATGTAACACATAGCCATTGAAAACAATATTTACAGCTACTGATGGTGGGGGAAGAAACTTAAGATGCACAAATAACTGTGAAAAATAAGGGTCCAAAATAAATAAAAAGGATAACCTCCAAAATGTAAGTATACAAAGAAACCATGATGTTTGAAAGTATATGTGTTAAAGTGTTAACAGAAAGTAAAGATCTTTAGGATATGAGATATGAGTGTTTTAAAAAATTTTTTTCTTTATATATTTATGACCTTTTCTAATTGTATAAAATGAAAAACATAAATTTTATAAACAGACAAAAACTTTAATAATATTTGTCAAATGCCAAATCTGAGTCCAAAGCCATTGTCCATTTTAAGAAAATCATCTGATTCAACATCACATCTACTTTTCAAGAGAGCACCATGCCCATTTCACAGAAGAGAAAATTTGGCCCAATATTCCTCAGTCTCCATGTTTTAAGTTAGATATTGTTTCCTCCAGGAGGCCCTCATTGACCTTCCAATTCTGGTTAAATTACTCTTTCTCTGAGTTCTCATTACTTTACTGATTATGTATATATAATATATATATATAATATGTATATTATATGTTGTGCATATATATATGCACTGTGTGTGTATGTGTGTGTGTGTGAATGTGTGTGTGTGTGTATATATATATATATGTTGTGCCTAGCAAGTCTATGACACCAAATATCCATAAATTGAATGAATTAATTAATTAATTAAGAAATGAATAACTTACCCAACCTGGTAAGTGGCAGGGCTGGCCAGGTCAGTGCAACTTCAAAGTCGGTGTTGTCACTGAATACTCCAGATGGATTGCAGAGAAGACCAAAGTTCATGTCTCGGCACCTTTTCCAATGTACAGGACTTATTGTTGGGACAGAGTAGTGCCTGGCCTAGAAGTTAAACATTCATCAAGCTAGCTATTAAGGCTTGAATGCCTTCAAAGAACAGCATGGATTTTTCTGTGAATCGTGAGTGTTTTCGCAATGCTTACCACGGCAGCTGGTAATGATTATTGCTCCTGTTTCCCTTTGAATTTCATGTTCGTTTATTTAACAGGGCATTGCTAATCTAGAAGAAGGGAGTGGGTGAAGAATCCCGTTTGTAAAGAGGATAACAGGTTAATGAAAAGAAGCAGAGGTATGTGTAGGTGATAGTGTTTCTACAAGACTCGGTTCAATTGATATGATTTAAAGGCAAGCCTTGGCTGGCTGGTCATAATAAGGGCCACATTATGGAGGGGATTTACGTGGCAATTACCATGGTCCTTGTAAGTGGGATACAATGTTTGAGGGTTCCCTGGATACTTAAGATTAATGTCTGAATCAGTAGTGTTATTGTTGCAAGATCTTAGTGTGACGGGAGCCATCTGAGGCACGAATTTTTATCCCTTATCAGAACGTAAAATACCTCATAGTCTGCAAGAACACTGATGACTATGGCCTGAAGTTGCCCTAGAAGAGTTTAAGTGTCCTGTTGATTTTTTTTTTTTCCTTTTCCTTGGCAATTAGAATGCATAAATGAGTCTAGAGCTACTTTTCCTCATCTAGGTAATATGACTGAAATGGGAATTATACATGTTCAATCATTTAGAGAAGAGGGACTAAAAATCATAGACCTATAACAAATTAAATAATTATAGAGAATCTACCATGTAAATGACTGCAATTAAGGACTTCTTCATGTACCCCCGGCCCGATTCACAGCCTCTGGGGCAAACTCATCATGGTTTTTCCCTTACAATATTTATTAAGAATGATGATCCTGAACCTCAAGGAGTCAAGGGGAATTTTTGGATTCCTGCCAGGTATGTACCTGGCCAAGATTAATTTGGTGAATCAACAATTCCCAGGAACCATATCATGAGTACTAAGACAACAAATTGATTTATCTAGTAGTACGTTTCTCCAACCTAGTTATCTGTGCAAAAAAAAAGTGCAGTGGACATGGCACACGTTCTAAGAAGTTCTCCTCCAAGGAAGTGGTCAAAATATGTAATGCTTATTTATTATTCATTTTGAGACCCAGATTATCCAGTCAAGGGGATCAATACCTTACTCCTCTTCCCCAGAAGCCTCACAAATAAAGTCTTAACACCATCTCAACAAAAATAAGATAGGGACCTGGACATGGAGAATATGCCTGTCTCACAGATTCCAAGCAATCAGGTAGAGTGTTGAGAAATGCTATTGAAACAGGAAGTTCCTGCTAAAGGTGTTGGTGAGATTGGGATGCCAGTGCAGAGTGATACAATCTTTGGACAAGAACACATAACACGTAAGTGTGTGAATCCTGTTCTTGTCTATAATGACATCTTGCCATTAAATCCTTGAGAACAAAGAAAAATAATATATATTAGCTGAATTGTTTGCTAAAACCCCAATGTAGAACTCAGTAGAACAGACAGGACTACGTGGAAGAGTCCTTTTTCCTGGACAGGGTATTGCCAACTAGCCTCCAATTAAAGCAGGGCAGAGCCATAAAACTATTATAATCCAGGGGAAACTGGATACGGGGCCTTTTCATTTTGAAAGCGATATCCAAATCTACCCAGAAAGTCTAATTAAATCCTTATGGATCTGCTTCTAATTAGCTGCTATCCAATTAGCGTTCTGAAACCTGAATGCTCAGATTATCCCTTGTTCCCATCTTGGTGGAGGGACAGGGGGAGTAAATTAGAGGAACAAAAGAACAAAAAAGAGGCTTCGAACTTCTGCTAGAAACCAGTATCACAAATCTAGAAAGACAAGCCAAAACCAAGATATAGTTGGCCTGGGGCAACCCGTATCCTTCATTTTCTTATTCGTTCATTAATTCACTCATTTATCAGGTGGACATTCGCAGGGCACCAGTGATGCTGTCAGACACCATGTTTGGTGATGAGTCACCAGATGGTCTTAGCAGGTGAAAAGACTGGGAGCCCACTGGGAAGCATACAAAAATTATTCCGCAGCTATCAGATCAAGGGGGAGGTTAGTAAAAGCTGGTGGACCTTAAAGTTTCTTTACTTTTGTAAGTATAAAAACTGAGGTCAAGATAGAGTTTGGGATAATGGATGCAGCCATAGCCAAAGAATGAGTCTAGTGTCTATAGACAAGTTGTGATATTTGGAATTTTCCATGTGCAAACACACACGCACATGCATGTGTGCACATACCACACCACGCACTCCTCACCTTTGCCATTTTCATAGGGAAACGTGAAGAAATAAGTATATGGATTTTCGAACTGGACAGTGTTTTGTTTCAGACCCATGTTCGCTTGCTAGCTATGTGATATGTGACTTTGGCAACTTGTTTATCTTTTCTGGGAAAACATATACTTCTAGGGGTGCAGTAAGGAATAACTAGGAACAGTGGAAGGTGTGCCTGGTACAAAGCCTGGGGTGTAGATGCCATTTAATAAATGATGGTTTTCTTTCTCCTGAATCTTGAGAGTAGATCCAATCTATTGTTTATTCTTTACAATAGGCATGGTAGAGTAAAAGGAACAACAGAATAGAGGGAGGAAGGGAAGAAAAAAAAGAGAAAAACCATAAGGCCAGGTGTGGTAGCTCACGCCTGTAATCCTAACACTTTGGGAAGCTGGGGAGGGTGGACCAAGAGGTCAGGAGTTCGAGACCAGCCTGACCAATATGGTGAAACCCCATCTGTAGTAAAAATACAAAAAAAAAAAAAAAAAAAAAAAAAAAAATTAACTGGGTGTGGTGGCACATGCCTGTAATCCCAGCTACTGGGAAGGCTGAAGCAGGAGAATTGCTTGAAACTGGGAGGCAGAGGTTGCAGTGAGCCGAGATCGCACCACTGCACTCCAGTCTGGGTGACAGAGTGAGACTCCCTCTCAAAAAAAAAAAAAAAGAAAGAAAGAAAAAGAAAAGCAACCATACGACGAGCAAGAAGCTAAGTTTACAAATAAATGTAATCCATACTTCTCAACATCAGGACAGGCCCTTCATGCTTAGATTCCAGGTCTCTTCTTGCGAATGCGATGTCAACACTTATCCAATGGTGCATTTAAGAGCACCAAGTTTTTAAAAAAGACAAATGTCGAAAAGAAATGCCATTTATCATCAAGCGCCATTATTAAACACTAGCTTGTTGGCATATCTGTAAGTCTGGTTGTTATTTTGCTAGGTGGAGAGGGCAGAATTTTGGAAAGTATCCAGGTCACACTCCTGTTTCAGAATAGTAATTACAAAAGCCACAATGTATTGGTACTTAGACTCATCATCTATTTGTCCTTTTATTTTAAATACCCCAAGGATGGAAGTATTTCTAGCCTAATTTTCCAGCTAAGAAAATCAAGGATAAAAAAATGTTCATGTATTGTTACTTTATCCTTAGTACCCCCCTGGGAAGTAGGTATAATTAGCCTTATCTTAGAGGTGAGAATACTGAGGCTCAGAGAGGACTGTCCTATAACCAGAAAGAGGGTGTGTTAGGATCTGAACCCATCTGATGAAAGGCTATGCTCTTAATTAATAGCCTTGCAAGGACACATGTAGGTCACAGGATACCTGGGGAAGGTAAATGCTCTGTTCTGTTACAACTTAGTAACAGCCTTTGGCCCAAAATAAGACTGGACATTGACTTTCATGGATGAAAGTCCGCATTCCTAACATGGATTCATTCAGAAGCACCCAGATTTCACAAGAGGAAATGATGAGGCATTTTTCTGAAGTGTTGAAATTGTGCCCTTTGTCAGTCACAAACAAACCTAAAAAAAAAGCTTTGAAAATTCCTCAAAGGTAAAAGGTAGCCTTTCTTCTCCCGTAGTTCTGACATAGTCCCAAAAGGAAACAAAAGCTTGCATAATTCTAGCCCCAGTGATTCTTCTTTCCTTCTTATTAACTACAAATCTTCACCACATTTTTTCTTACTAATTAGTTAAATGCTTAAGCTCCTGAGTCACTGAGTTGTCTACTGGTTAGAGCTTGTTCTAGCTCTTCCACCCTGAAATGGAACTTGCAAGGAATTAGGCCCTCTGAAGATCCCACATTCAAGTCGTGAAAACAAGCCAACAATGAAATCAATCACTGCCGAGAAGGGTGGACAAGCACAAGCATTAAGACCCACTACTGCTGAGTCAGGGCCTTGAGATATGCTGCCAATGGGAAGAAGAGAGAAAAATTATGTTTATTCATTTATAAATGTGTGCATTCTTGCCTCCAAAAGTCCTGATTTCACATTGGTCCATTTGGGTTCTCTTTTTCTTTGCTGCATTCAGGAGCACACTTGTATTTCATCTACTGCTTGAGAATGCAGAGGAGCTTGTCCCCAGCAGTAACGGAGCCAAACATAAAGCCAATTACTTTTGCCTGGGTGGCTAATGGAGGCTCCAAGAAGCCAGAGGTTGGTCACAGTCATGTGATCCAAGAGAACAGACCATGCACTTCTGGAGGCTTAACCTGACTTTCACTAAAAGCATGCACAGAACGTGGAACTTGGCCTCCTGTAGAAAAGGCATGTCTTCAGCTTAGGTTATTCCTTTCTTGATGCTTACCATGATGTCAGGCTCCTAGCAGGAGAGCCATTAATAACTGTCATGTAAACCACAGGAGAAAAGCTATGAGTAGAATTCTGTATCTATACTTATTTAAAAAAAAAAAAAAAACAACCCTTTAGTATGAATGTATGACGTTCTACTGATTGGCCCTAAACACTTTTCCAAAGCTTACCTTCCACTTTACTCATCAGCAGTGCAGCTGCCAGAATTCTCACTGTTCCCAAGCAGCCATTTTCTCTCAGGCTTCTGTAGTTTACATTCTCCACCCTTCCTTTGTCAGCAGGTATCATCTAAAAATCATACCTGATTATGTCACCTACATGCACATGCACATACAAGGACATACACACACCCCTCATTAGTCTGGATCTCCCTGTTTGCATGTAAAATGAAGTCCAGGCCTGTTAACATAGCATGTAAGACCCTCCTCAGTCGGCCTCCAAAACGGCCCATCCAGCCTCATTTCTACTCTCCCTCCTTCATCTTTTTCCTTACTGATGTTACCACAAAATTCTCTTATACTCATCATTTCCAAAGGAGAGCAGGCCTGGACTCAGTACCTTTGTGTACTGCTGCTTTGCTACTTGCTGTTATCCTCTCCTTTATCTCTATGAAGCAAACTCTTTCTCATCCTTCAAGAGCTAGTTCAAATATCCTCCTCTGGGAAGCCCTTTCTGAAGCCCACAGATGGGGCTAGTTATACCCTTTACTGTGGGCACACCAAGGAAAAACAGCTTTTCTCGTGTGCATGTCTCACTGTGTTATAATAGCTTACCTGCCTTCTCACCATTAGACTGTGTACTTCTAGAAGGCAGAAATCTTTTTCTAATGATGTCTTATTTCCCAGAACCTAGAACAATGCATATTAGAAAGGGTTGATTAGTATATATGTTTAG